CCCCACATACTTGATTCCTTGTGCAGTTACGGGAAGATCGTCTCCACCAAAGCCATCCTGGACAAGACGACCAACAAGTGCAAAGGTGGGGGTGGGATTGGGGTTCGGGGGTCCATCTCACTGTATTTAGGGTATAAAGGGGGAAAGAGAGTAATGGCTTGGGGGTCCTTTTTACTGTGTTTAGAGGAAAGGGGGAGGGGTCAGGATTTTTGGGTCTGATGGAAGTGGGGCATGGGGCGGTGGAAATTAGCGTTTTGGGGTCATTTTAACTGTATTAAAAGGAGTTTGGAGGTGTCAGGGGTTTGAGGTCCCTGTTGCTGTATTTAGGGTCTGGGGGGAGGAGGAGATGAGAGTTTTGGGGTCCCTCTCACTATACTTAGGGTCTAAGGGGAAAGGAAGAGTGTGAGGGTTTTGTGGTCCCATTCACTGTGTGTAGATACTAAAGGGAAAATGGAGTGCTGGGTTTTATGGCCTAAGGGGAGGGGATTAGAGCTTTGGGGTCACTTCCACTGTATTTAGGGTCTAAGATGAGGACGGATGGTCTGCATTTTGGGGCCTTTTCACTGCACTTCTGGTCTAAGGAGGAGGGTTGAGGTTTGGGGGTCTGAGTAGTAGGGGTGGGATTGAAGGCTTTGGGGTCCCTCTCACTCTGTATGTCCCTTCCCCTCCCCCCCAAGGCTACGGCTTCGTGGACTTCGACAGCCCCACGGCAGCCCAGAAGGCAGTGACGGCTCTCAAGGCCAGCGGGGTGCAGGCACAGATGGCCAAGGTAAGGCCCGATGGGGGGGACCCCAAAATTCAGACCCACCCCAGCGGGTGTCCCCGCTGCCCCCTGATCCCTCCCCACAGCAACAGGAGCAGGACCCCACCAACCTCTACATCTCCAACCTGCCGCTGGGGGTGGACGAGCAGGAGCTGGAGGCGCTGCTGAAGCCCTTTGGGCAGGTTGTATCCACCCGCATCCTGCGGGACCCCCACGGGGCCAGCCGTGGCGTGGGCTTTGCACGGTATGGGGCTGCGTGGGGCTGGGGGAGGGCGAACAGCAAGGGGGCTGCAGATGCCCTGGGGACACCCAGAAGGGCTCCTCCAGCCGTTCTCCCACCCACCAGGATGGAGTCCACAGAGAAGTGCGAGGCTGTCATCACCCACTTTAATGGGAAGTACATCAAGACCCCCCCAGGGGTGCCAGGTAGGCTTGGGGGGGGCGGGGGCAGGGTGGCTGGGTGCTGGCTGGTGATACTGACAGCTCTCCCCACAGCCCCCCCGGACCCGCTGCTCTGCAAGTTTGCAGATGGAGGGCAGAAGAAACGGCAGAGCCAGGGCAAGTTCGTGCCCAATGGGAGAGCCTGGGCCCGGGACAGTGATGCGGTAAATGGGATCTGAGGGCAGAATGGGGCACGGTGAGGGGGTTCTTCTTGGGGGGCTGTGCTGTGGGGCAGCTCTGACCCCTCTGTCCCTTCCCAGGGCACTGTGACCTTGGCCTATGACCCTGCCACAGCGCTGCAGAACGGGTGAGTGTCCCACAGCCCCCATTGTGGTGGGAGGTGGAGGGGCCGATGGCTGCAGCCTCCACCCCATGACTGACTCCACCCCACAGGTTCTACCCCGCACCTTACGGCCTGGCCCCCAACAGGATGATTGCACCCACCGCCCTGGCTCCCTACCTGCCCTCACCTGTCTCCTCCTACCAGGTATATGGGAGTACAGGGTGGGGGGTCCCTGCAGGATGGGGGTCCCTGCAGTGGGTTGGCTGCAGCCCCCACCCACTGGTTGCTCTGCAGGTCCACAGCCCTACCTGGATGCACCAGTCCTACCTCGTGCAGCCCACGGTGAGCACAGCAGGAGGCAATGCACATCCCGGTCCCCATAGCCCCACCCACCACGTGCTCAGAGCCTCCCACCCACTTCTATACACCCCACATCCCCAGCCCAAACCCTGCCACCCCACCCTGCACATCCCAGTCCCACGTCCCACTGCTGTTCCCAACCCCCCGTGTTCCCCACCCCACGGCCCTGCTCCCCCCACCCTCTTGTCCCCCCCCTCCCTTGCTGATGGAGCCATGCAGGGCACAGTGCTGGCCCCCGCCGTGGACCACGCCGTCCCCCTCCAGCCCTCAGTGGTGGCCCCCCTGGCCCAGCAGCTTGGCCACCTCTCTCTGGGCAGTGCTGGCACGGTAAGGACCCCCCTGGCTGCAACCCCCCCCACTGCCCCCATTCCCCCCTGCCCCACTGATACCTCCTCCCCCCCAGTACGTGCCTGCTGCCACCCTGCCTGGAGCCTTCCTCCCACCGTACCCCCCAGTGCCACCCGCGGTCCCACTGGAGGTGAGTGCTGGGGGTGCAGGTGGGGGGGGGAGGTCCTGCAGTACTGGGGGGGTGGTACTGGGGGGGGTCCCAGCCTCTTCTCCATTAACCCCTCCCCACAGGACGGCAGTGCTGCACCCACCCATGGCCACGGCCCCGTGGAGTCGCCCTCTGAGCCCGGAGCCTTTCCCTACCCCTACCCCAAGTAGCAGCGGGCGGGGGGGGCCGGCACCGAGGGACCCCCACCACTGCTGCCCACCTTGTGCCCTGCCTCTGCTCCTCCTCCTCCTCAGCAAGGTGGGGTGGGGGGGGTCCTGAAGTGCCGGGGGTCCCGCAGCCCCCAGGGCAGCCCCCCCTGCAATGGGAGGGCTTTTTTTTTTCCTCCTGCGTTTTATAAAAAAGGAAAAAAAAGAAAAAAAAAAAAAAGAAAAAAAAAAGGAGAAAAACAAGAACCCCCCCCCCGCCTCCCCTCTTCCCCCACCCACAAAGGGAGTCGGGGCTCTCCATCCGCAGCAGCCCCAGCCCCCTCCTTCCCCCCTCCCTTCCCAACCTTGTGCTTCCACGGCCCGTGGCCCCTGCCAGGCCCCCCCAAAAGCTGCGGACCCTGCCCCACCCCACCCCCCTGTGCCTTCTGCTGCCAGAGTGGGGAGGAGGGGGCAGCGATGGACCCCCCTCCCCCCGCCTGCCCACCAGGGTCCGGCGCCCTAGCCCCCCAGCAGGCCCGGGGTGCTGCTCCCTCCCCCCGCTGCAGCCATTCCTGTCCCGGGGGGGCCTGGGGTTCTGCATGCCCACCCCCCCCACCGTCCCTTGCCCCCAGCCGTGGGGGGGGGCAGGACAAGTGCAATAACCCCCTGCTCTGCCCCACGGGCCAGCCAGGCACTTTAGACTCACCCTGCGCCCCCGGAGGCTGCTGAGCCCCCCCACCACGCCCCCCGCTTGCGCAAAGACAATCAGGGGGGGCCGCGGGGGCGTCTCTTTTAACCAAAGATTGGGGTTGCTGAGCTGCCCCGGCCTCCCCCACCCCTCCCACCCTGCATTATGAGCCCACTCTGTGGGTCTGTCTGTCTGTCTCCAAGGGGATGGGGGGGGGCAGCCCCCTCCCCTCTTTGCTTCCAGCTCTGGGGCCGGCCGTGCCCCCCCAGTGCCAGCTCTGCCCAGGCCCTCCCCGGTTCTTCCAGCCCCTCCCAGCGCAGTGGGGTCCCCTGCCCCCCCCCCCCCCCCCCACAGCCGGGGCAGTGGGCTCCTCAGTCCCTCCATGGGGCCGAGGGGCCCCCCCGGGCAGCAGGGCCCCCCCTCCCACCACACATCTACCTCACCCCACAGCTCAGCGCGTGCTCGGCCCAGTTCTGCTGGGGAGGAGGGGGGGGGGGGGGGCCGCCGCCTCTCCCCCCCCCCCCCGCCCCCCCGGGCGGGCAGCGCTCCCGGTTTCCAGCCATCACCCACCTCTCCCGTTGCTGCTAGTGCCGGTGCCCTCCGCCCCCCCAGGTGACCCCTGGGGTACGGGGGGAGGCAGGGGCCCCCCAGGAAGGAACCAAAGAGGGAGCCCCACAGACGGCCCCCCCGGCGCTGAGCCCCCTCCTCTGCTGCCCAGGGGCTGGGGGAAGGGGGGGGCGCTGGGATCCTGCCCACCTCGGAGGGCGGGGGATCTGAGCTGTGGCTGCAATGCTGCAGCCCCCCCCGCCCCCCCCTCCCTTCTGCCCCCCCCTTTAATTTATACGTAGCGCATTTTGTACAGGTTTTTAAGTTGCTTTTTTTTAAAAGGATCTGAGAGGTTTCTAGTTTTGTATTTCTTCCTCTGCTTCCGCGCTCCGGCCGGCCCCCCTCCCCCCGCCCCCCCCCCCCCCCCCCCCCCCCCCCCCCCCCCCCCCACCCCCCCCCCCCCCGCCCCAAATTCAGCTCCTTCTCCCCCCCCTCAATTTTGGAGTTTTCTTTTTGTTTTGTTTTTAAATAAAACGGCAAAGAAAAGCACCACTGCCTCTGTTGTGTGGGGGGGTGGTGCTCCGGGGGGGGTCCCAGGCCCGTGCCCCCCCTTCCATCTCCCCAACCCCCCCCAAAGGATGGCTCTGACAGCAGCTCTCTACCAAACGTGAGTTTTATTCGACACGCACGGTCCTACAGCTCATGGTGTGGGGGGGGAAACAGCGACAAACGGGGGGGGGACACAACGGGGGGGGGGGGGGAAAACACCGGAATCTGCTTTGTTCTCCTTGAACCATTATTAAAAATGAGCTTGGTCCTAAAAATATAGAAAGAAATAAATTTAAATCCACAAAAACCTGTACATTTATCAAAAAGTCCACTGCAACGAACACGGCTGGTCTAGAAAAGGGGGGGTGATGATAAAGGGGGGGGCTTGGGGGGGCGCTAAAGGGGGGGGGGGGGGGGGGGGGGGGGGGGGGGGGGGGGGGGGGGGCTGAACTCCAACGGACACAAAACGCTGCGGAGGATCCCAAAAACGTTCCCACAATGGGGAAAAAAAG